GTGACCCCCAACCATAAAATTATTTACCCAGTAATTATAATTCATGAGTGTCGTTTTACCTCCAATACTGCTGCTTTCAACACAGTAGCTGCTTTTAACAGAGTAACTGCTTTCAACACACAGTAGCTGCTCTTTACACATCGGAAATATGTGTTTTCTGATGGTCTTAGGGGACCCCTGTGAAAGGGTCGTTTGACCCCCAAAGGGGTCGCGACCCACAGGTTGAGAACCACTGACCTAGAGGGTGCACTGATGCAGGCACCAGTAATATGCAGAGTGGCAGACATTGATACCAGAGTGGGGTTATAAGGTAGGCTGAAAAGTATATGTAATGGAAGAGTTTAATATTTGGTTTGAAAAGAGTTGTACTTGTCTGTTAGTCTATTGTTTGTTGCACAGTAATTAAAGTGTATTGTTTGGGTAGAAGGACTGTGGCAAATGTGTGCCAAGTCTAAAGCAAGTAGACTCAAGTTTTTATTTAACTGTGCCCCTTTAAGACCCTCCCACTGCAATTTGGCCACACCCACCATTTGGCACACACTGCTTTACTACCCAGCTTCGAGGACTAGTACCTACACCTGTTCTCTGACCAAGAAAAAAAAAATAGCTGAAAATAATTTTGATGTAGTGGCAGGGAGCACTGCCAACAGGCCCAAACACTACAGGACATCTGCAGAAAAATACAGGAAGTTGGCAGATATGAGACCAGTCATCCTGTACAAGGAGAAGAATCTGCAGTGACCGGTCTTTATTACAGGAAACACAAATCTGGAAGAAAGACACAAAGCAGACCTTGTCTTTTGTATTTTGATTATGTTTGCTTATTTCAGAGTTGAGATTTTACATTTGTTAGCACAGAGATTCACCACAGATTCACCAAGTGACTTGTAGGCCTTGTTCAAATAAGTGGCCAGGGGGCAGTAAAAACAGATGGTTGAGCTGCAGTTTTTCTGCCCACCTACAAGATAGCTTGCAGCTGCTCAGGGTTATGCACATGCCGTGGCAAACGTTATACCTGTGTCTCCTTCAGGAGGCATTACTGCCACTAAACATGTCTATTCAAGTTTTAGGGCAGTATTTACATATGCAATCCCCATTCAACTGTAAAATAAAACCACACATTCATGAGGTGGTAGATCCACCTCCTAAATGTCTGGCAGCTGTTCTCCACCACCCTTTAATGGCTGGTGCACACTGTAATTTTTTTTTTTAACCCAGCAGGCTGAACGATAAAAAACTGAAGAGCTCGGGAGGAGCTCACTGTACGATCTGATGTTAGTACAGCGATCTCTCTGATGACCAATTTTGTTCTGACGGGGGCTGCCCCATACCCCCCTCCACCCTACGCACCAGAACACATTGGCTGCCAGCACTGATTGGATGCTGATTGAGTGCTGGTTTTCCAGAATGTTCTGTTGAACAGACTGGTGTACACACAGGCCAAATATCGTGGGGCTGCCAATATTCGGCCTTGGGTACGGAGCTTAAAAAGCAATCCACCGCTGCTGCCTGTGTGAATGAGCCCTATGTCTGCCAGGTGCTTAGTCTCTTGTGTACAGAATGTCCTAAGAATTCTAGATACACTTAAAGCGGAGTTCCACTCACACTGTAAAAAATAAAAGTCAGCAGCTACAAAAACTGTAGCTGCTGACTTATAAAATACAGACACTCTCCTGTTGCACGATCCCGCGGTGTCCTCCCCGCAGCCCGTTTCACTGGCCGTCCTGTGTTCCAGGCGCCGGCATCTTCAGTGTGGGCACCCGGCTGTTACAGCTTGCGGCTTCACAGCTGGGTGCCCACTGCGCATGTGCGAGTAACGCTGTGCTTCATGAATGGGCCCCTGTAGTCTTCTGGGACCTGTCACGTGTCCCAAAAGACTACGGGGAGGGAGAGTGGGAGGACAACTTCTGCTTCCGATCACAGTGGATGTGGGAGCAGGTACCTGTCAATTTCGGGTACCCGCTCCCCAAAGGTGCCAATCCTTAATGGTGAGCAGGGGACCAGTCTTTAAAGTGGAACGTCCCCTTTTGGGTGGAACTCTGCTTTAAGTTTTATTTCTAGTAAATTTACTGCTTGCTGTTATATACGGTCCTGATGCCCGCCCGTGCGATTGCTGTGATTGTCTAATACCATGAAGGTTTGTCGGCAACCTTTACAAATGCATATTTAATGCTGTTAATGTATGCCAGATTTCCACATTTGGCCTTTTAAATGCTAGTTGACAGATGGCATTAGTATTTCTTAAGTGATTTTTGTGCATTGGGTTCTTAAAGTGACAGAAAATGGCAAATTATGAATTCAGTGTTTAAAAGGATGTATAAGGATATATTACACAGTCAGCTCCTCTAAACGATGAATGTTGTTCTACATAAGTAAATGGCTTTGTTGTAGCAAGGAATAAACCAGGTAAAATCAGGTGGTAAAACGTGTTCCTTAAAATAGGAGACTTGAGTGCATGATATACTGTAGCTATTTTGATAGCTGTATCAGTGTTTTGGTATAGGAGCAATTTTGAAATTCTATCCAGTTACCTATGCATGCTTAGCTGCTGAGTAGACTTTGTAAGTTTTAGAGTTTAGGTTGTATTTTTTAGTTGAAAAGCTGTAGTCCTTCCCTGTTATTTCTTCATTAGTTCCTGCTTTACAATATCAGTTTTTGGAAGTAGAAAATTGACACATATTTTGCAGTGTTTTAGTTTTAATTTGCTTTTTAGGCCCTGGTCATGCATTTGTATTTAAAAAAAGAAATCCTGCTTGCTGCATCTTTAATGCGCTCCCATCAAAACGTGTTTATATGAGGTTATTTTCATAAACCATGTACCCAAGTGTGCTGAACCAGGCTTTATTGATTTATTCATTTGCATAATAGGGGCATAAAGTGCATTGTACCTGCTGGATTTGCCTACAATTGAATTGTTTTAAAGTGGTTCTAAAGTCACAAGGTTTTTTGTTTTTTTTTTTACCTTCAAGTGATTGTAAAGGCAGAAGGTTCTTTACCTGTATATATTCTCTACATGAACGCAAAAAACCTTCTGCATGCAGATTTATCTCCCAGCCCCCGCTTATGCTTAGCTGAGCCTGATCTTGATCTAGCAAAGTTCACTGGAGCAGTGTCTCCCCCCCCATAGGCTCAAACAAAGCAGCAAGAGCCATTGGCTCCTGCTGCTGTCAATCAAGGCCTGTGAGGAGGAAGCTGGGGGCAGGAACTAGCCACACTCTGTATCTTCTAGACACACAGAGGCATCTCAGGATGGAGCACACAGATGTGCCACCATAGGAAGCAGCTTACTATGGTGGCACACCAAGAAGAGGTGGAGCCAGGAGAGCTGGCGGGGGACCTGAGAAGAGGAGGATTGGGGCTGCTCTGTGAAAACCTTTGAACAGAGTAGGTAAGTATTACATGTTTGTGTTTTATTTTTTAAAAAGTAACAATCACTTGAATGCATTGCCAGCATTCAAGATAAAAACCTATCACTGTGTTTGCTTCCCTGCCTTTCAAAATACTTACCTGAATCCTGTATCAATCCAGTGCAGTGCCTGTGTGCAGCAGCCCTGTTCTTTTCTTTCTGGTCTCACAGGGCAGATTGATAGCAGCGGGAGCCATTGGCTCCTGCTGCTGTCCGTCAAATCCAGACTCCATGGGGTTTATTTACTAAAGCTGGAGAGTCCAAAATCAGACTCCCTTCTGCATAGAATCCAATCAGCTTCCAGGTTTCATTGCCAAAGCTTCATTGAACAAGCTGAGGTTAGAAGCTGATTGGTTTCTATGCAGAAGAGAGTCTGATTTTGGACTCTCCAGCTTTAGTAAATAAACCCCCATGTGTCTGCCTCCATAGCAAGAGGTTTAAAAAAAGGAACCTTTAGAATCCACTTTCTGTTAGCACTAGCGTCCTCCATGCTGGTTCTTCCTATAGACCAGGTAATTCCTAAAACCAGATTGGTTTATTTGTAATTGAGGTACTGTGCTTCAACCATGCTTTTTGGACTTGCACCTGTGACTGCTAATGTATAAATCCTATAAAGAACAGGCTTAAAGGAATGTTTATATCATCATAATTTATATGGCTGCAATCAGAAGGTATAGAGGCTGCAATCTGGTGCAGGGTATTGTCATCACCTCTATCTTGAACATGCATACCTGGTTCTTCCCTGTGTATAAGTGTCCTTTCAAGAGTGCTTTCCAATTGGGTCCACCTGTCAGTTTTCTGGTGGACTTGATTCAAAGCTCAATACAAGTTTATGGGTAGGCAGATGTGAACAGATATATGTCTGTTTATAGTCACCTACCTCCCGACGGAGTCTGTTTTTTCTGGTCCCTAGATTGATAGTCTGCTTACATCCAGTAGCTTATAGATCCAGTACAGGCCCTCAAATGTCTGCTGTCAAAATGCGGACAAAAAAACTTAACAGGCAAGGATGTCATAAAGTGGCATCCGTCCTGTTCTGCTCCAATTCAGCAGGTGATCTGTTCACAGGACTGAGCATGCTCGTGTGAAAGGACCCTTAGACTGTATGAGCATCTTCCTTCTTAAAGCTGCATATGACTACTGAACAAAGCACCGTAACTAGGCTGCATGTATATCTAAAAATCCAGCACCCATACCCTGGACATTGGCAGCAGATGTGCTTAAAATTCCAGCATGTATAGTCAGAATTTTTTTTATTGTTGCAAATGGAGGTAGGTATTCTCAGACTGCTTGCTTCTAGGCAGGACTGGCTTTAATTTTATTTTTATGTAGCAACACATAATAAATATGGTGAGAGTTGTCAGTCTCTGTGGGTGAGAGAGGACCTAGGTTAGAGTAGGGGTTATCGTAGCAGGCACAGTGTTTTTTTTTGGTTTTTTTGGGTTTTTTTTTTGGGGGGGGGGGGGGTTGCACCACTGGATAGAATATTCATTGTACCTTTTTTGGTGAAGGTAGATACCTTTGCACATTATGTATCAGAAGGCTGCTAATTAGCAGAGTCATAAAAATAAATTATTTTCTTTTTTTCATGCAGCTAAAGGAACTTTGAGTGAAGACACCATTCGAGTCTTTCTGCAACAGATCGCAGCTGCCATGAAGGTGTTACATAGCAAGGGAATCATCCACAGGGACCTAAAGCCACAGAATATTCTTCTCTCTTATGCTACTCGGAAGAAGCTTAATTTTAGTGGAATCCGGATAAAAATAGGTAAACAATAATCGTAGACACAGGTTTAAGCGCACATAAAAAAGATAATAGATTTGGAGGTGGAAAAAATTCTGGACAGTATGTTTTAAAATGATTGTAATTTTATAATAGCATTTTCCAACTCCACCTGGCATCCATTAAGGTGTCAACATAACTCAGCATTTCTTAGAACTTAGCTTAGAAACTTAAAGTGGTAGTAAAGTCTTGTTATTAAATGAAGAAAATGGGCCCCTTGCAGGTTTAAATCAAAATATATTAGTATGCACTGCATACTACTACATTATGATAGTCTTACCTACAAACAGGGCCTTACAGTGCAGTGCTGTCACAACTCCTCTGTGCTTCCACCTTCACCCAGACTTCCTTCCAGGTTTGTAATCTTTGGTGGAGCAGTGGTGATGTCACTCCTGCGTATGTGCACAGGAGGCTATTTACACCACTGCGTTTTAATGCACTAAACCACATGTGTTCAACTTCTCCATAATAAAAGTAGTCTGTTCCCACCTCAGCATTGCATCTGCAATGCATTCTTAAAAATATGACGTTCAATTTTTTAAAGCATTTCAGTGTTTTAGAAGGCATATAAATGTCAAAAGCAAACACACCAAAACGCATGTTACATGGTTTTTTTAAGCGTTGGCAACAGGTGCTAACAAAGCTTGTCAGTGGCTGTTAAATGGCTGAAGTGTATGTTACCCCAATTTCATATTTCTGATACAGTGAAGGAAATAAGTATTTGATCCCCTGCTGATTTTAAATGTTTGCCCACTCACAAAGAAATGATCAGTCTAAAAATCGAATGGTAGGTGTATTGTAGGTGTAGAGACAGAATAGCAACAAAAAATTCTAAAGAAATGCATATCTAACAAATTATGCACTGATTTGCATGTTCATGAGGGAAAATACGTATTTGATCCCCATCACAAAACATGACTGTCATGAGGTCAGACGTTTCCTGTAGTTGGCCACCAGGTTTGCACACATCTCAGGAGGGATTTTGGCCCACTCCTCTTGGCAGATCCTCTCCAAGTCATTAAGGTTTGGTGGCTGACGTTTGGCAACTCGAACTTTCAGCTCCCTCCACAGATTTTCAATCAGATTAAGGTCTGGAGACTGGCTACGCCACTCCAGGACCTTAATGTGCATCTTCTTGAGCCATTCCTTTGTTGCCTTGGCCGTGTGTTTTGGGTCATTGGCATGCTGGAACACCCATCCATGACCCATTTTCAATGCCCTGGCTGAGGGATGAAGGTTCTCACCTAAGATTTGACAGTACATTGCCCCGTCCATCATCCTGTCCCCTTAGCAGGAAAACACCCCCAAAGCAGAATGTTTCCACCGCCATGTCTGACAGTTGGGATGGTGTTCTTGGGGTCATAGGCAGCATTCCTCCTCCTCCAAACACGGCGAGTTGAGTTGATGCCAAAGAGCTCGATTTTGATCTAATCTGACCACAACACTTTCAACCAGTCCTCCTCTGCATCATTCAGATGTTCAATGAAAAACTTCAGACAGGCCTGGACATGTGTTTTCTTGATCAGAGGGACCTTGTGGGCACTGCAGGATTTCAATCCTTGTTGGCGTAGTGTGTTACCAATTGTTTTCTTGGTGACTGTGGTCTCAGCTGCCTGGAGATCATTGACAAGATCCTCACGTGTAGTTCTGGGATGATTCCTCACTGTTCTTATGATCATTGACACTCCACAAGATGAGATCTTGCATGGTGCACCAGACCTAGGGAGACTGACAGTTGTTTGTGTTTCTTCCATTTGCGAATGATTGCACCAACTGTTGTCACCTTCTCACCAAGCTGCTTGGCGATAGTTTTGTAGCCCAGTCCAGCCTTGTAAAGGTCTACAATCTTGTCCCTGACATCCTTGGACAGCTCTTTGGTGTTTGTCATGGTGGAGAGTTTGGAATCTGATTCTTTAATTGCTCCTGTGAACAGGTGTCTTTTATACAGGTAACAAAATGAGATTAGCAGCACTCCCTTTGAGAGACTGCGTCTAATCTCAACTTGTTACTTGTATGAAAGACACCTGGTAGTCAGAAATCCTGCTGAATGATATGGGATCAAATACTTATTTCCCTCATGAACATGCAAATCAGTGCATAATTTGTTAGACATGCATTTCTTTTGAATTTTTTGTTGCTATTCTGTCTCTGTGTTACAATACACCTACCATTCGATTTTTAGACTGATCATTTTCTTTGTGAGTGGGCAAACATTCAAAATTAGCAGGGGATCAAATACTTATTTCCTTCACTGTATGTGTCTGTTGGACCTTGTACCTTTGTTAAAAAATATCCTGTTTTCTTTATATTTCTTCCTTTTGTGTGAAATACTTGGTGATCCTGCCAGTCTCGCTGCTAACCCCCACCCTCTGTAAACCCCTTATGCAGCTGAGAACAGAGGTTATGTGATCACATAGAAATGCAAGGCAAAACTTTTTTTTTTTTAATATTTCAGCAGAATGGGTTGTTTTAAAAGGTAAGGGTTTTATATATACTTTAATCCAATACACTTAAATTCTAAAAACACATTGAATATGCTTGTCAAAACATGTCAACGCAAGTAAATGCATGTTGACACATGACAAACAAAACTCACACGCATAGATCTAAACAGGCCCAAATATGTTTGTTACTAGGTGAGGATAGTCTATAGCTGAGCTGCCACCCTTGTCTTTTACATGTTAGAATGTTAGTTACCTTTTTCTTCTTTTTGCCCCTATTATAGCGGACTTTGGCTTTGCTCGTTATCTGCAGAGTAATATGATGGCTGCTACATTATGTGGTTCTCCAATGTACATGGTAAGGTATTCATTTTATTTCCTGATTTGACCATTATGAAAAATATTGTAAACATTTGTGTGGATAGTATTGGGCATTTTAATACATTTCACATACCATTATTCACATTTACATGCAGACCAACTTGTTCAGAAAAAAAGGTCAGAAACTGGGACGGGAACAAGGTTAAAACACTTCAAGGTGTGCCTGACCAGTTGCAGCAACAGAAATTCTTTTAGGACTATTGAAATATTTATTGAGACCTTTAAGTTATAGCTTGTCCTAACCCCTGTCAGCTTCACATTTGCTGCACAACTTAGTCTGCATGTAAATGTGGAGAAAAATATATTTTTTATTCAGGTAATGTGGTGTATTCATTTGTCTTCTCTGGTGATGAAAAGGGAAAAGAATGACATGCAGAGAGAAGATAGTGTGAGCTTTGTTTTAGAGTCACTCTGACCTGTCACTTATGTGATAGCACTAGTTAGCTCACATGCTGAATTGATTGCTGAATTCCTAGAACCATGTTGTTAAAGGACACCGAGTTCACACTGACCTTAACGTGCCATTAGGTAATGTACTATGACCTGAGCTTTTTAAAATCCTAAACATGGTGAAAAAAAAAGTATAATTGTTAAAATAAATTTAGTTGGCTTAACCACTTCAGCCCCAAGCCTATTCTGACACTTCACTCCTACATGGAAAAATCAGCATTTTTTTGGGGGGTAGAAAATTACTTAGCACCCTCAAACTAATAAATAAATATCTCCTAGATTGTAAGCTCGAAAGAGCAGGGCCCTCAAACCCCTCGTATACTGTTTTGTTACTGTGTTGTCTCATGCACTGTCCCCCACTACTCTGTACAGCGGTGAGCAAACTTTTTGGCGCTATATAAATACTGTATAATAATTATATCTATATCTAAAAAAATTAAAGAAACACTTTGAAAACACATCAGATCTCAATGGGGAAAAATATCATGCTGGAAATCTATACTGATATGGACTGGGTAATGAATGTATGGATGCCCCATCGTTTGATGGAAATGAAAATTATCAACCTACAGAGGACTGAATTCAGAGACACCCCAAAAATAAAAGTGAAAAAATGATGCAGCAGGCTAGTCCATTTTGCTGAAATTTCATTGCAGCAACTCAGAATGGTACTCAGTAGTTTGTATGGCCCCCACATGCTTGTATGCGTGCCTGACAACGTTGGGGCATGCTCCTTATGAGATGATGGATGGTGTCCTGGGGTATTTCCTCCCAGATCTGGAGCAGGGCATCACTGAGCTCCTGGACAGTCTGAGGTGCAACCTGGCGGTGTCGGATGGACCGAAACATGATATCCCAGAAGAGGTCTATTGGATTTAGGTCAGGTGAGCGTGGAGGCCATTCAATGGTATAAATTCCTTCATCCTCCAGGAACTGCCTGTATACTCTCTCCAAATGAGGCCGGGCATTGTCAAGCACCAGGAGGAACCCAGGACCCACAGTGTAGGGTCTGACAATGGGTCCAAGGATTTCATCCCAATACCTAATGGCAGTCAGGGTGCCATTGTCTAGCCTGTAGAGTTCTGTGCGTCCCTCTATGGGTATGCCTCCACAGACCATCACTGACGGTCTGTCACATGTGCTCAGGGTGAACCTGCTCTCATCTGTAAAAAGCACAGGGCGCCAGTGGCAGACCTGACAATTCTGGTGTTCAATGGCAAATGCCAATCGAGCTCTATGGTGCTGGGCTGGGCAGTGAGCTCAGGGTCCACTAGAGGACGTTGGGCCCTCAAGCCACCCTCATGAAGTCTGTTTCTGAATGCTTGGTCAGAGTCATTCACACCAGTGGCCTACTGGAGGTAATTTTGTAGGGCTCTGGCAGTGCTCATCCTGTTCCTCCTTGCACAAAGGAGCAGATACTGTTAATGCTGATGGATTAAGGACCTTCTACGGCCCTGTCCAGCTCTCCTAGAGTAAGTGCCTGACTGCTGGAATCTCCTCCATGCTCTTGAGTCTTGTGCTGGGAGAAACCGCAAACCTTCTGGCAATGGCACGTATTGATGCTGGAGGAGTTGGACTGCCTGTGTAACCTCTGTAGGGTCCAGGTATCGCCTCATGCTACCAGTAGTGACACTGACCCTAGCCAAATGCAAAACTAGTGAACATTAGTCCAAAAAGATGAGTAGGGAAAAAATGTCATTGCTTTCCACCTGTAAAACTATTCCTCTTTTGGGGTCCTCTCATTGTTGGCCATCTAGTGCACCTGTTGTTAATTTCATGAACACCAGCGCAGTTTAAACTGATTAACAACCTCCTCTGATACTTAGCTGACCAGATCAATATCCCAGGAGTTTAATTGACTTGATGCTATACTCTGATTAAAAAGTGTTCCTTTAATTTTTTGTGTGTGTGTATAATTTATTTTTAAGCAGAAAATAAAATGACGGGTGTTGCAATTTTTTATGTCACATGGTATTTGCACAGCAGTTTTTCAAACACAATTTTTGGGGAAAAATACACTTTAACGAATTTTAAGACACAAAAGCACAATATAATACCCAATTGTTTGGTAAAATATAAAAGATGTTATCTTGAGTAAATGGATACCTAACATGTGACGCTTTAAAATTGCACACGCTCGTGGAATGACAACTACTACAGTACTTATAAAAAAAAAAAAAATATCCATGGCCTTTACAGGTTACCAGTTTAGAGTTACACAGGAGATCTGGTGCTAGAATTATTGCTCTCTGCTCTTGATGTTCATGGTGATACCTCGTGTGGTGTGATCGACATTTATATATGCATACGGAACTGACGTTTCCGGTCGCCTTTGTGTGTGATGGGAAGAGGTGGCCCAGAAGGGGGTGAAGGGACCCCCTTATGCTGCCTGTAAAAATGATCCAGCGGCTAAGTAGCCACCAGGATCACTTTTACATTAAATCCCACCACTGGCTGAACCAAAAGATACCAGCATGATGCCTGTAGCTGCAGGCATCATCCCAGTATATTCACTTCAACCTGGCCACGTACAGGTATGTTGCGGATCCTGAAATGGTAAAAGAAAATGTCTATATGTAAATGATGATAATATATGATACATAAATACCAATCACCTCTCCATCCCCATCCTGCAGTCCACTGTCTAAGAACTCGTTCACGTGTTGATTATGAAGATTGGAGCAATGCTCATTAAAACTCCTATAGCATTTGTGTGTTGATGACTTGTTTTTGTTGTGTTTATGAAGTGCTGAAAATACTTCAAGAATGCTTGATAAATGCCCAGGAAAGTGTTGCTTTTTCTAGTGCTTAAAGGTGAAGTGATGTAGGGGAATTGATCTACTTTGAGGCGCAGTTAGGTTGTGGTGCGATAGAAGGCATGTTTGTGAATTCTCTGCAAGGTGGATTCATATACTTTGATCTCTTTGACACTTGGCTTGGCCCAGCTCAACTCAAAAAACTTTGCTGTTAACAATAATTCTCAGTGCCTCTGGTCCTGGCTGGCACTGTCTGTATTGCTGGCTGGTTGATGCTGTCAGAAGTGAATGGTAACACCACATGGCTGCTCTGTACAAATGGGAACTGACTGGAGCTTTTCTGTCTTGTTTCTCTATTATTTCCCAGTGGATTCTGCCATACCACCTGACTCACTTCATCAGCGTTTCTGTTTAGGTGTCAACTTTAGCTGTTTGGTCCCTCAGACCATCTCACCCAGCTCTCCTGGCTCTCTCAGCTTTCTAGTTACAGCACCCTGCTGTACAGTCCCACTCCTGGCCTCTCAGTAGGAGATATTGTGGCACCCTCTCACTCCTTTGAGGCTTACAGATTCCCTCAGTCCCCTGGACTCTTCTCATTTTCTCCATTCCCCAAGCCCTCCAGACTTGCTTTAGCTTTAAGCACTGATCCTCTGCCCCCCATGAAGAATTGGCACCTTTGGGGCGCAGTCCCACATTCTTCTGGGACACCTGATAGGTCCCAGAAGACTGTGGGATCATTCACAGTGCGCAGCGCTGCTCACGCATGCACAGTGGGCACCCGGCTGTAAAGGCGCAAGCTGCTACAGTCGGGTGCCCACACTTAAGATGCCAGGGACAGAGGATGGCTGGTGATCCCTACTGCGGTGAACACATTGCTGGATCCTGGAACAGGCGAGTGGCTGTTTTTTAAAAAAAAAAAAAATCAGCAGCTACAGTTTTTGTAGCTGATGACTATTTTTTTTCTTCTTCAGAATAGACTGGAGTTCAGCTTTTAAGTGCAAGTGTTATAAAACATTATAGTATGTTTAACGAGAACCATATTCAGGAAGGCATCTAGTTAGAAAAAAAAACTTAATTCTCAGAGGTCTTCTCACCTGACATGCTTGGCATCCTCGGCAAATAAACTTTCCATAGACTGAAATATGTAGGGCCTGCATGTCTGTTATGAATTGGTAGCGATCCATCCTCAATTTGCTAATGTCTTTATTTATTCTTCCAGCTGTGTTTTATTCTTTGCAGCTGTCCTGCTGTTCATTTTCCGGACTGCAGTCTTATCTTAGCTTCTCAAAGCATTAATTAACCTCAGCTGCAGTTTCTTTAAGCTTCTCCCTCCAGCTAATATCAGCAGGAGGGAGCCAGACTCCAGCACTGGCTTTGCTACCCATAACTTGTGTCCTGGTTGTTTCATCATTCCCTCTTACTTTCCAGCAGCCTGTTGTCTGTTCTTTATTGTGTTGTCGCCAGTCTGTTGTGTTTTGGTCAATTTACAGTCCACTTACTTTCAGCATCTTGATTACCTCCCATTTCTCCTGATGTGTCTCCTCCAAATATCATGTTTAATATACTTTCCCTTTATTTAGTGTGGGCAACAATACAAACAAATTAAGGTGCAAAAAACTGAAGGGGAAAAAAGAGAACCCCTAACAATAGTCCAGTGGACAAACGGTTCAGTAGAATTTTCAAATAATAGAAATCACTCCTATAATTAGTGCAGCTCCTGTTTACCAGAGGTTTCGATAAGTAGTCAGTCCTCATATTTTTTTAAAGCAGAGGCCCTAGAGGATAAATTGGTGGGTTTTAATTTATTTATTATTATTTTTGTCGCACAGTATTTGCACAGTGGTTTTTCAAATGCAGTTTTTGGGAAAAAAATATACTTTTCTGAATTTTATTACAAACAAACACAACACATAACCCAATCTTTGTAAAATCTAAAAGATATTAGAGTAAATATCTACCAAACATGTCATGCTTTAAAATTGCGCACACCCGTGCATTGGCAATAAACGGCGTAAATTTACTATTCATAGGCGGCACTCTAAAAGTCTTTACAGGTTGCCACTTTTAGATTTTATAGAGGAGGTCTAGTGCTAGAATTACTGCCCATGATCTGATTATCGCGGCAATACCTCACATGTGAGATGATCGCTGTTTGTATGCGTGCGGAACTAGCGCATGCGTTCGCCATTGTGCGTGCGCACAGGGGGGCACTTTATTTTTTTTTTCAAATACATACATACATACACACAGTGCCTTGAAAAAGTATTCGTACACCTTGAAGTTTTTGACATTTTGTTATGTTACAACCAAAAATATTAATTTATTTTATTGGGATTTTATTTGATAGACCAACACAAAGTGGCACATAATTGTGAAGGCAATTGGTTCCACTAGATTTTAGTTAGGGGTATCGGAGTAAAGGGGGCTGAATACAAATGCCCGGCACTCTTTTCAGATATATAGTTGTAAATAATTTTGAAAACCATTTATCATTTTCCTTCCACTTCACAATTATGTGCCACTTTGTGTTTGTCACTTAAAATCCCAATAAAATACACAGACCCACACTCTGGGTACTCCCTTAAAAATAATCATATTCACACAACCACAGCCTGAAATTAAGACCACCACAGTTCTTGTTTTATCCAGCTGTATTTACTCAGTGCAACTTATAACATCCAAGTGAAAGATATAACACCAACATGTCAGAAAAAAATTTTAAAGAATCAAAGACAGAGTCACTGAGTTGGAAAAAGGATCGCCCCTTCTATTAGTATTTTGTTGAACCACCTTTTGCTTTAACTACAACCTTTAGTTTGTTGGGATATGTCTCTGCTAACTTTGCACATCTAGACTTTGCAATATTTGCCCACTCTTTTTTGCAGAACTACTCAAGTTGAGTTAAATTTGTTGGTGACCATTTGTGGATTGCCATCTTCAGGTCATTCAGTGGGGTTTAAGTCTGGGCTCTGACTAGGCAATGCAAGGACAATCACCTTTTTCTCCTTCAACTACTGTGTGGTTATTTTTGCTGTGTGCTTTGGATAATTGTCATGTTGGAAGTGAATCCTTCTTCCTATTGACAAATTTCTGGCAGAGGGCAGCAGATTTTGCTCAAGAATTTGGCGGTATTTTGCCCCATCCATTTTTGCTTCTATCATGACAAGTGCTCCAGTCCTTGCTGCAGAAGAACATCCCCATAACAGGATATTACCACCTCCATGCTTTACTGTAGATTGGTGTTATTTGGATGGTGAGCTGTATTGGATTTTCGCCAGATGCATCGTTTAGCGTTGAGACCAAATAATTAAATTTTAGTTTCATCTGACTATATAACACCTTTTTCCAAGTGCCCTCATAATCTTTAAGGTGCATTTTGGCAAAGCTCAGGGGTGACTGCATGTGGTCTTTCTTGAGGAGTGGCTTTTTCTTGCAACCCTCCTATACAAGAATATGTGACATTGTTGTCACATGTACACAATAACCACTCTTTGTCATGAATTCCTTCAACTTCTTCAGAGTTGCTGTAGGCCTCTTAGTAGCCTCTCTCTGTACTTCTAGGCATTGATAAAGCCTTTGATATTTTTTTTGTATCCATCACCTGACTTGTGCCTGTCCACAACTAAAATCTTTTGATAGTGCCTTACCACCCATAGTTGATTGTTTGCTTCAGTTGCACTATAAGGGACTGAAATGCTCCAGGAAAGCTCTTTTCCTGCTGAGCTAATCAAATTGACCACAGCTCTTCACAGTTGACAGTCAAATGGCTTTGTGTGCCATTTGAGAAGGTGATTAGCTACTCCTGATTTGGGTTTGCAAGTTATTTTTAGGAGAGGAGTGATCCTTTTTCCAACTCAATGATTCTGTTTTGAATTTTTTTATTTTTGTTTATTTTTTTTCTGACATGTTGGTGATAAATCTTTCACTTGGATGTTGTATATTAATGCAGGACATACAGTATCTCCCAGAAGTGAGTATACCCCTCACATTTTTGTAAATATTTTATTCTATCTTTTCATGTGACAACACTGAAGAAATTACACCTTGCTACAATGTAAAGTAGTGAGTGTACAGCTTGTATAACAATGTAAATTTGCTGTCCCTTCAAAATAACTCAACACAGAGCCATTAATGTCTAAACCGCTGGGGGTGTACTCACTTCTGTGAGATACTGTACATGGGTTGAATTCTGAACTAATTTTCTTTAGAAAAATCGAACTTTTATTGCATTTTATAATCAGATGGTGCCACCATTGATTTCAAAATTCAACCAAACAAACCTTTAATTTCACTTTGGCTACAAAAATTATTTTCTGTAGCAACAAAGATGTTCTTTTCTTTCCAGGTCACAGCTCATGCTCATTTCATGTTCGATTAAATTTCCATCATTCATTAGAAATTCGTTAGTTTTTGCAAAAATTTCCAACATGCCCGATCACTCAAATTTGATAACTCAAAAATGGGCCATTGCTTGGCCCATTAATGGTTTTGGAAAATTATTTTGGAATTCGATGTGTGTGTGTGTGTGTGTGTGTGTAAAAAGATGGATTTATAAAAAAAAAGTATTAAAAAATGTGTGTGATTACTGAACTAGAATATGGATGTTTTTCGACAAGATATTTATATTTCACATTGTGCTGAACGTTGACTGTTTAGACATGATGCCCTGTGTGGGCTATAGTTCTGTTTGAATACCAACATAGTGATCTGTTTGGCTTTTCAGGCACCAGAGGTTATCATGTCACAACACTATGATGCAAAAGCAGATCTTTGGAGCATAGGAACCGTCATTTATCAGTGCCTAGTTGGCAAGCCACCATTCCAGGTAACCATTACATCTCTTGTGTATTTACATGTACTGTCTTGTTTGCTTCCTGTACTGGTCACAGTTTATTGCAGGAAATTGTGTGGGCTCTCTGATGTTCTTTGTAGCAAGAATTAATCCGTATTGCTTAAGTAGATAAATCTCTTTTCAGTGTTTGATATTGAAAATAATTTTTTTATGCAAGATGTATATGGCTTAAATATGAAATCTGTTTAGCATGTAATAGACCAGAGCTTATATACACATTTACCCAAGTCATGTTTTTTAACGAAGGCCATTTTTTTTCTGTAATACATTTGTACATTTTCTATCACAGTATTTAAAATCTGGCGTGTATATATGTGTGTGTGTGTGTGTGTGTATGTGTATATATATATATATATATATATATTGCCCCCCCCCCCCCCCCCTATATGTATGTATGTATATATATATGTGTGTGTAATATTTATATATACAGTATGGCCGAAATATAGAAATGTATATATATATATTTGTTGTGAATGTAGTAGTTTTCACACATGTAAGTGTGTGTGTATATACCATATTTTGCGTATACACATGTGTGTGTGTTCCCTGGTGTGTGTGTGTATGTGGTAATATAGGTGTATGTGTGTGAGGTTGTCGTTTAAAGCAAATATGTGTGTGTGTGTAAATATATGTGTGTGTGTGTGTGGTGTAAAATATATGGCACCCTTGTGTGTAATGTTGTGTGGTTGTTGCACACCTTTGGTGTGTATATGAAATCAGTCGCTTATATAATATCAATATACAGTCATGGCCGAAATTGTTTGGACCACTCTTCCTTTCTCCAGGAAATCATGTATTTCTCACGAATTGTATTGCATTAACACCTTTTTGCTATACACAATTTAAGATTCCCTTTTGGTGTTGGGACAAAACAATTTAAGGGAGGAAAGAAAGCAAATTCGACATAATGTCACACAAACCTCCAAAAAGGGCATGGACAAAAGTTTGGCACCCTTTTCACAAACCATTACAAGCATTTCTGAGTGTTTTTGAAAGCAGAAAAAAGGAGAGACGACGTATGTTTGGGGTCATTGTCTGCTGGAAGACCCAGGTGTTGGTGTTATAGCAAATCACACCTGAAAGCAGCTTTTGAACAGGGACCTTCAGTTAACCTTTTGCTTTGGTAATCTCAGATTTGCCACATGATTGCTTGCACAACAGAAAGAGGGACGAGAAGTGTCTGAGGACCTGAGAAAACATTGTGGCAAAATATCAACAATTGTTACCTCCATCTCCAGAGAACTAGATTTGCCTTTTCCACAGTGCGCAACAGGTATCAAGAAGTTTGCAACCCATGGCAGGCTAATCATCCCTGGTTTTCGGGACGGATGAGGAAAATTGATGTGCTTTTGCAACGCAGAATCTTGGATGGTGGATAATCTGCCCCAAACACGTTTTCCAAAGACATTCAAGCTGTTTGGGCTCAGGGAGCATCAGTGTTTTGCGCAAATGTAGTCCGTGACTTTTAAATGAAATGAAACGCTATGTCAGCAGTGGGGTCCTCCTGGGTCCCCACTGCGACACAGAGACATTAAAAAAGCGGAAGACTGACTGTTTGCCAAAATGTACTTGCAGGAGTAAGGAAAAAGTCTTTGGAAAACGTTTGTGGACAGCTGAGGACCAAGATAGAGCTTTTCGGTAAGCCGAAATCTTTCATACTTTTACGAAAACGGTGACCTACAAAGAACAAAACACAGTACCTACGGTAAACTTCTGGTGAGGTTCAATGATGTTTTGGGTTGTTGTGCTGCCTCTGGCACTGGGTAGTTGACTGTGTGCAGATGGCATCATGTAAATCTGAGGATTACCAAAGGATTTTGGGTCGCACTGTTTGGTTCTCAGGTCCTCAGAAAGCTGGGGTTTGCGTCCAAGATCCTGGGTCTTTCAGGACAAATGACCCCAAACATTAGTGTGGCACAAAGCACTCAGAAATGCAATGGTTAAGTGAAGTCTTTTCCTGGAGAGTTCTGAAGTGGCCAGCAATATATTGCCCAGATCTAAATCCCCCCATTGAACCCCTTGGAGGTGAGTCTTCAAAATTGCTGTTTTGGGAAAATTTGGTGTTTCCAATAAGAGAGACCTGGAGCTTTTGCAAAGGAAGTGTCCAATAATTCCGGGTGAGCACAGGTTTTGGAAGCTTTTGATGTGTTATGGAAGCGACTGATTTCAGTTATGTTTTTTTGTTTTGCAACCAATATTACAGTTTAAGGGTGCCAATACATGTGTATCCAGCCCATTGTTAATGGGTTTTGACATTTTTGTGGAAATAATGCTTTTTCCTGGTTTTATATTTGAATACATACAAAGGAATAAAACAATGTGTCGGCACTGTACATGTGTTTTGTGTGGGTGTTTTTTTTTGTGTTTTATGGTGTGTGTGATTTTTATGTATTTGTGTCAAGTGTGCCAACATTGTTTCGTGCCATGACTGTATATATATATATTTGTATATTTGTATATATATATATATATATATATATATATATATATATATATATATATATAAAAAATTGATTGGGAAGATGCCAAAGATAAAATAGGGTAGATGGGTTTTTCTAAAACTGATGCATTCAGAATCTGGTGCAGCTTTGCTTGTTAGCCATTCGGCTTCTAACTTCAGCTTGTTCTTTTAAGCTTTGACAATAAAGCCTGGAAGCTGACTGTCCAGTTTTAGTAAATCTGCCCCATTGTGTAATAATATTCCATTTATGTTGTAATCACTAGGCTTTGTCAGATTCCACACCTCCCCCTCCCAATACTAGTATCTATTGATAGAGGAAACTTTGCCACGTACATGTTAATTTAGTGTTATACTGTAACTGGTCGTACTGTGGAATTTACACTTTCATTAGCTTTGCTAAATGATGTCAATATTGCAGTAACCATCAGCTTGTCTTTATGGAAATGCGGAAATGATTTTTCAGTCATTGCAGTGTAATAAACCAGAATCATTTAGGAAATGAAGAGGTGTGCGTATGTGAAGGCGTGCTTTGGGTTTTGGGGCTTATGCTGTAACTCATGGACAGTTTTCCTTATTGTTTACAGTTCTGTGCTTAGAAAAGAATACATTGACTGTAAACACATAGTTTGTAGAGATGGGCTCGGTATCCTCTGAACCTCTGTGCTTTTTAACTACTTCCCAACCGCGCTATAGCCGAAGGACGGCTACAGTGCGTTGTCTTGTTCCTAAGGACGTCCATGAACATCCTCTCAGATCACACCCCCTGCGTGCCCCCAGTGGCGCCGCTGGTGATAGCTGTGTCCTACGGACACAGTTGATCATGCGATACAGTAAAAGGCCAATCACAGCGGACTTTTACCATATGATCAGCTGTGTCCAATGACACAGCAGATCACTTGGTAAATACAGTTGCCGTTTATCGGCTGCTCTTTCCTCCTGCTGTCACAGTGAGAGGAAGGTACTGCTGAGAACCGGCAATAGTCCGCAAAGGGATCGGTACTGATCATCAGGGCACGGTGGCTTGCAGTGCCCCCGACCTGTGCCTAGCAGTGCCAAGACGTTCCACCCAGCAGTGCCTTCAGTCAGTGTCGCCTATCCGTGCCCATCAGTGCCACCTCTCAGTGCACATCATCAGTGCTCCCTATCAATGCCGCCTATCAGTGCTGCCTATCAGTACCACTGCATCAGTGCCCGTCAATGCGGTCTATCCATGCCACCTCATCAGTGCTGCCTATAAGTGCCCATCCGTGCTGCCTATCAGTGCAGCCTCATCAACGCACATCAGTGAAGGAGAAAAAATTACCTGTTTTTTTTTCAAATTTTTTAATAGAAGCGAAGAAAAACTTTTTTTTTGTTTTTCAAATTTTTTACTTTTTTTTTTTTTTTTTTTTTTTTTTTTTATAGCGCAAAAAAAAAACACTCACCTGCGAATAAATACCACCAAAAGAAAACTCTATTTGTGTGAAAAAAATTATAAATATTTCATATGGGTACATTGTTGCATGATCGCGCAATTGTCATTCAAAGTGTGACAGTGCTGAAAATTGGCCTGGACAGTAAGGGGGTTTAGGTGCCCAGTAGGCAAGTGGTTAAAGAAGAATCCATTGACTGTACACATGTGGTCAGAAGAAATGAGCTCCAGTGTACTCCGGATCCATCTCTAACCTGAACTCCATACTCCCGCTTTCTTGTGCTTCAGTGAGCTGAGTCATTTCCCATCCTATAGTTTCCGTGAGCTATGGGGCAGGACCACAGCTCATTAGAGATATAAAAAAAATAAAAATTAGGAGCTTGGAGTAAAGACTAGATTGGAGGACCCCGGTGCTCATGTCAGTGTCATCCTGCTTCCAAATATAGAAGTGTATGACTCTGGAGAAGGGGCTAGCTTCTCTGCAGTGGACCCTTCTTATGTCTGAGTTAATTGTTGTCAGATTATATAATTTTAATGTTTACACTATGCTGTCAGATATGCGTGGCCTTACTCAGCTTTGAATGGTCTTAGTACAAAGTTGATGCGTAGTTAACCCAATAGTAGCATTACTTGCATAGTAGCATTGTACTTGTTTGCTAAGTATATAATTAGTTTACATAACTTTCCTTAAAGTTTGTTTCTGTTTTCATAACAACAGGCAAATAGTCCTCAGGATCTGCGATTGTTCTATGAGAAGAATAAGAGCCTTGTTCCTAGGTAAGTTTAATGGCCACACTCCTCTATATATTGTGCTATTGGTTCTATATATTGTGAGCTTTGGTTGTGCTCCAGGTGTTTCTCTAATATAATAATAATAATGAATATACTGCAATGATATTGGTGCCCTCAGGCACCAAAATATGAGCCCTGTATGTGTTTAGAGCATTTATATTAGGGTGTTTTCACATTCATGTGCATTATTGCTGATTTTATGAGCCAGCATTGTGCTTGCAGCTTCTTGCTAGGCAAACTTTGTGCATTGGACACTTACTCAGATTATGAACATGCTTATCATATGCTTGTATGACATCTTACAGCATTCCCGGGGAAACATCTCCATACCTGTCTGACTTGTTGCTGGGACTACTTCAGAGAAACCAAAAAGACAGGCTTGACTTTGGTAAGTTTTTAGTGGTTTCAGATACAGTTTATTCAGTATGCAACCTGTGTGTGAAAAGACACTGTCACCTTGCCCTGGCCTGTACAGTAGAAGTACAGTTTATTAGGTAGGCAGGATAGGCTTCCCTGAGGAGAAATATTATAAACTCTGTTTTGGAAAGATTGAGTTTGAGGAAGTGGTGTGACACCCATACTGTCAGTTGATAAATCACTAATGCACAAGGTAGACTGACAGGGTGAGCAGAGCAGTAGAGAGATATTTGGTTGACTCAAGAAACAGGTACAGATAGAGAAGAGAAAGGATCCGAGGATGGAGTCTTTGGGATGGAAAGAGGAAGAAGATAAAAGTGCATTATTCATATTTTTGTGTTGCTTCTAAACCTAATAAAAGAAAACCTGTGCAAACAGCAATAAGGAGGCCCCTGTTAATGACTTATTTCTAAATGCTAGCTAACCAGGAATGCAGTCAGCCTGATCTTCTTAACCAGACAAACGCATTGACTCCTGCTGTTCTTCTCTGGGTAACTGCATTTATCTGCTACCTCCACTCTTTTAACCAGACAAACGCATTGACTCCTGTTAAATTCTCAACAAATGTTGTAATTATATCTGTGTATCTGTTGACTTGTCCTCACCTCTTGGCGCACTCAGGTTTATGACTGTGGCCTGGTTCCTAAGAAACATCCCCCCTATTCATGTGAGCCTTATCAGCTTCTAATTGGGGCGGAGTTGAATGCTCATTTGAGCAATCTCCCTATAAATTTAGTTCAGCTCATGGGGGAGATCTCTGATGGGGGGGGTCTCTGATGGGTGCTGCTTATGATGGAGTGCGGCTTTGAATGAGTGCAGAGCAGTTAAACACAGCAGTTGAACTAAAGCAGGAGAACTTAAGCAGCAGGAAGACACAACAACAGCAAGAAACTCTACTGCATGCTGGACAGACTGCAAGGAAACACCCTGGGAAATATCTTTTACATACCTGAGTCCCACTCCGTGTACCTTTTTATATAATACACCCCTCTTCTCCTCTTCATATTACTATCCTCTGTTCCCAAATCTCATTTCTTTACCCCTCTGCTCCACCCCCAAAACTTGTACATCTACCCCTCATTGCTATCATCTCCCTACTATTGCTTTCATCACCTCCCCAAAATGCCTCTTCCACTCCTCCTTCTCATTTTCCTCTCCTCTGTTCCCAAAATCCATTCACTATATCCCTCTGCTCCTCCCAAACATTTGTATATTGTGCCCTCACTGCTTCCCTCACCCCTCTATGCACCCTACCACCTCCTCCTATTACTCCACTCTCCCACTGACCCAAACACCTCCACTAGTAGTTTCTCACGCTCCTCCTGCACATCCCGCTCCCATGCCACCTTTCTCACCCTTCTCCTCCTCATAACCGCGGGGGACATCTCCCCGAATCCTGGCCCTCCACCACCTCCCTCACCCGCACAAAACCCTCCCCCGCCTCCACGTCCTGCCGCAAACCCCCGCAACTTAGTATCTGTCCCCCTGCTCCCCCTAATCTCCCCCCCGTTTTCATGTGCACTCCTGAACGCCGCCCGATCGGCTTACCGGCTTACCGCCATCCACGACCTCTTTGTTTCCCGCTCCCTCAACCTCCTGGCGATTACGGAAACCTGGATCCAGCCCACTGACTCTACCTCCCCTGCTGCACTCTCCTACGGCGGTCTTCCTCACCTGGACCCACTCACACCCAGGCCCAACGTCGTAAAGGTGGTGGGGTTGGCCTGCCTCCTGTCACCCGCTGCGCACCTTCCGAGTCCTCCCAAACCCCCCCCCCCCTCCCTATCCTTCTCCTCCTTCGAGGCCAACTGCGTGTCCGACTATTCTCCCCAACCCCCCTGAAGATTGCTGTGATATACCGGCCTCCTTGATCCATACCCCGCTTCCTGGAAGACTTCTCCTCCTGGCTACCCTTCTTCCTCTCCTCTGAGCTACCCACTATCATCCTTGGGGATTTCAACATCCCTGTCAACCTCGACAACCCGGACACAGCCCGTCTCCTCCACTTAACCTCCTCCTTTGCACTTGCACAGTGCATACAATCCACCACCCACACCTCCGACGGTAATATCCTTGATCTTGTCTTCTCCAACCGCTGCGCTCCCACAACCTCACTACACTCCTCCCCCCCTTCCCTCTCTCTGACCACAACCTGATTACCTTCTCTATCTCCTCATCCTCCAACGCCTACCCCTCCAAATGTCACACTACTACCAGCCGTAACCTCCGCAACCTTAACCCTGCCAAGAATGAACCCCTCCACTCCGCTTCAGGTTGATCAACTCCATGACCGCACCCGCCCCCTCCCCCCCTGTCCCCCCCCCGACTTGGCTATGACCGCCTACAACCAATGCGCTGTCAAACAGCCCTTGACTCACTAGCGCCTTTAACCACACGCAACATCAGACCCCGACCGCTCCAGAACCCTGGCAGACTGATCACACTAAAACCCTCAAACGACACAGTCGTGCCCTGGAGCGACTATGGCGCAAAACCAAATCCAACAAGCCTTCACTCCCGATACAAATCTGCCTTCCACACCTACACCTCCTCCCTCCATACTGCCAAACAAGCCTACTTCCTGACCCTCATCAAGGCCCTCTCCTCCAATCCTCGCCGACTCTTCTCTCCACCTTCAACTCTCTACTCTCGCCCACTCCCCCCACCTCCACCCAGCACCTCACTCACTGCCCTTGAGATTGCCAATCACTTCAAAAACAAGATTGACACAATTCGCAAGGACATTGCCGCAAACTCACACGCCTTCTCAACCCGTCCCCTCTCACACAGCTACCCCCTCATCCCCCCTCCCCCTCGACATATTACTAACCCCACAGGGGACTTCGTCGTCGCTGCCAAACTCCCTCCAACCCCCTTCCCCCTCACTCAGCTCACCCCCCCCCTCTACACCCCTCTCCCCACGGCCCCACCACTGCTCTGACCTCCTCTCCCACCCCACCTACATTCCTCATACTGAAGCTCCCCCAACACTCCGCAACCTTTGACCTTACTACCATCGAAGACACCTCCAAGATCCTCTCTGATGACCCCGCCTCACCACCTGCCCCCTTGACCCTATCCCCTCACAACTCCTACAACCTCCTCCCCCTCCATCCTACGCCCCCCTCACCCACATCCTTCATTCAATCTCTCCCTCTCCCCTCCGGCACTTTCCCTTCCCCTCTGAAACATGCACACATCACCCCCATACTTAAAAAAGCCTCCCCCTGGACCCCAATGACCCGAACAACCTCAGACCCATCTCCCCTGCTCCCATTTACATCTAAACTCTCTCGAGCGCCTAGTCTAGTCCGCTACGCCCGCTTATGCTCTCACCTCAATGACAACAACCTCCTCGATCCCCTACAGTACCGGCTTCCGTCCCCTACACTCCACCGAAACTGCCTTACTCAAACTCTCCAACGACCTGCTAACCGCCAAAGCTAATTGGCCACTATTCAGTGCTCCTACTCCTTGACCTCTCTGCAGCCTTTGACACAGTCGACCACCCCCTCCTCCTCAAAAAAACTACACTCCCTCGGCCTCAGAGATTCTGCTCTCTCCTGGCTCTCATCCTACCTGTCACAACGCTCTTTCAAGCGTTACCCTATAATGCCACCACCTCCCTCTCACTCCCCTCTCTGTTGGGGTCCCTCAAGGCTCTGTCCTCGGGCCCCTTCTCTCTCTCCATCTACACCCCCTCCCTTGGCCACTACTCATACATTTCTCACTGCTTCAACTACCACCTCTACCCCCCCCAACGACACACAAATCTATCTCTCCCCCCCCACCTCACCCCCTCGGTCCCCCCTCTCCCCCCACACCTGTTGAGAGTGACATATCAGACTGGATTTGTCGCTTCACTTCCTTAAACTGAACCTCTCCAAAACCGAGTTTCTTGTTCTTCCCTCCAGCCCGCACACCCCCCATTGACTTCTCCATCATGTCCAACAACGCCACCATCAAACCCGCCCTGCAGGCCAGAGTACTTGGTGTCATTTTGGACTCCAACCTATCCTTCCAGCCCCAAGTCCACTCTTTAACAAACTCGTGCAGACTCCACCTCCGCAACATTGCCAAAATCCGCACGTTCCTAACTCCAGAAAACACTAAACAGCTCATCCACTTCCTCATCATATCACGACTCGACTACTGCAACTCCCTCCTCACTTGGCCTGCCTCGCCTGGCACCGCTGGCTTATCCCCCCGCTTCAGTCCATCCTGAATACGGCTGCCAGACTCATTCACCTTTCCAACCGCTCCGTTTCCGCCAGCCCGCCACCCCCCCTCTGCCAATCCCTCCACTGGCTTCCGATTGGCGCAACGGATCCAAAATTCAAAATCCTAACACTGACGTACAAAGCCGTCCACCATACTGCCCCCGAACTACAATCACTAACCTAATATCCAAGTACCGCCCAGCACGCACACTCCGCGCTCCTCACAAGACCTCCTTCTCTCTAGTTCCCTGGTCTCCTCCTCCCCATGTCCGCCTCCAGGACTTCTCCAGGGTGTCACCCATCCTCTGGAACTCCCTGCCCCAACCCATCAGATTATCACCTACTCTCCTCTCCTTTAGGCGCACCCTGAAAAACCCATCTCTTCAGGGAAGCCTACCCCACCCCCTGCTAACTTACCGACCTCCTCCACTCTTTCCTACCACTCCATCCCCCACAGCTATCTCCTCCTGTGCCACCATCCCCTCCCTCGTAGATTGTAAGCTTGAAAGAGCAGGGCCCTCGATCCCCTCATGTTTTGCATTGTATTGGTATTGTTCTGTCACATGTTCTGTCCCCCTTTGTAATGTACAGCGCTGAGCGAACTATTGGCGCTTTATAAATACTGTATAATAATAATCTTCTGACTGCATTGTTTTCCATGTTGCAGACCTAGAACATGTATGTACCCAGTGCAGTTGAACGGAAATCAGAACTATGTCTTCAATTACGTATTCTAGGTCTGTAATCTAGG